CCCAAACTCATCAGAAGTGCGAGCGAAGCTGCTGATGAGACGCTGTAGTGCTTCCTCGGTATGGGCAGTCATCAGCAAACAGCATCTCCCTAATCAGGACCCTGCGCACCTTGGTCTTTGCGCGCAGACGTGCAAGGTTGAAAAGGTTGCCATCGCTCCTAGTGCGAATGAAGACACCATCTTCTGACTGACTGAAGGTGTGGCGCAGCAGCAGGGAGAAGAAGATGCCGAAGATTGTCGGGGCGAGGACACAACCTTGCTTCACACCACGTTTCGGATTGGGAAAGGTTCTGAAGATAGGCCATCATACTTATGACACTACACTTATGTAGTGTTCATTAATTTAAATAAAGCTGAAAAATATAAATATTATAGAGAAAAAAAAGCTTAAATGGAAATTGGAAAAGTTGCATTGGCAACTAACTGACAAAAAAATAAGTAGTTGTACTTAGTACGTAAGTACTAAAATTGCTACTTAAAATAAATTAAATTAAAGATAAATAGGAATATTAAAAACAATTAAAATACATTAAAATTAAAGGGAAAATAAAACAAATTCAAAATAATACAAACTATAATAATACATGAATAATATTAAAATAAAACAGCAGCCCGTTCAAAGTGGTTTAATGGCTTATAATTACAGGCCTGTTCACTACATTTTGTCATCTTGACATGAGGCCAAGTCAGTTTTCAGCTGATGGAGACATTTCAAGAGTTGATGAAACTTTACTGAACTAATTTCTAATGCTTCATCATTAAATAAACACTTCCATGAATTACACACAACCTTTACACAGTACATCAGTGGTGACAGTCCTGAAACAACAACGCCAGAGAAAACGCAATAAATGACAGCGGGTGCACGGTTTAATGGCTGTGGTGTGTGTGTCTGTGTCTGTGTGTCTGTGTGTCTGTGTCTGTGTGTCTGTGTCTGTGTGTGTAGGTGCGTAAAGAGTACGGGAAGTGTCTGCGGACTCACTGCTACAGCGGGAAGAGTGTGGACTCGTCTGTGGGTTCGGTGAAGAGCTCGTCGTCGCGCGGCCCGGGGCGATATTCCTCTGCGTCGCAGGTACAAACATACACAAACACAGCAGCACAAACACAAGAGATTTTGTGAGTGTCCATGTGTGTGTATTCTCTCTCACTCTCTCTCTTTCTCTCTCTCTCTCTCTCTCTTTGTCTCTTTCTCTTGTTTTCTTTCTTCTTTCATCACAAGGTTCATCACCCGCCTTGTATGACAAACTCCTCACAGTTACAGTATGAACAAGTAACTATCAGCTCTGTGACTTTCACACCACACGCCTGAGCAGCTCAGTGCATCGCTCTCTTTCACTTTCATTGTGTTAGAAGCAGTACTTCAGGAAGAGTCAGGGAGGGTTTTTTTATAAATGTACATTTTGTATACTTATGGTCAAAAGTTTGGAGTAATTGATATATTTTAATGTTTTTAAGTCTCTTCTGCTCACCAAAACTGCATTTATTTGATTAAAATTTACAGTGAAAACAGAAATATTGGTTTTCTATTTAATTGTGTATTTTTAAAAAAATTTAATTTATTTATTATTATTTATTAAAGCTGAATTTTCAGCATCATTACTCCAGTCTTCAGTGTCACATGATCCTTCAGAATCATATAATTAATAATTAATAATAAATAATAATTCCATTATTCCAAACTCTTAACCCATATTAATATTAATAATATTTTATTTTTTGTTTTATTTCATGTAAAACAATATTCAGTATGCAATGATGATCTTTTCTAACAGAAGTAATTTATATCATTGTCACATTACCTCCTTAATTTACATTTTTCATTCAGAATATGGTTTCCAATTATCATAAAACTAGATATTTTGCATTTTTAATCCAGTGTGGTGTTTTAATCCATTTGGAAGTGTGTTAAAATTGCAAGTAAAGATGGTTTAAGTTAAAGTCGTTGCAGATATTGTTTCCAGTTCGAGTTGGAAATATAAGGTCGAGCACTTTGCATTATGGGAAACATTATTAATTTATTTATATATATGCTTTTTACAATACATTCCGTTCAAAACCAAAAAATGCACTACTGTCTACTGCACATTTTGACAATAAGTTTATATAATAAAAAAAAAAGGTATTGCAGTATTTTACAGGAGAGGCAAGAAAAGATTAATTTGTTTGTGCTTTTTACAGTTCAATCTGTTCCAAAACTCTATTTCATGTATATTTACAGCACAAATATATAGAAATATTCACATGCTACATGCAGTATATATTTTATCCTGCAAAAGAAGTACTAGTCTTGTAGTTTTCTACAGGCTTTTTAGAATGAATTCAATCGCAACATTTAGAATTCATACTGAAGCGAGATGCAGGCAGGATTTCCATCGCATGTTGTCCTTGTCTCAAACAAATCTAAGGCTTTACATATCTGTGCTTTAATATCTCATTTCCATGGTAACGGTTTGTCTGGTTACCTGATCTCCATGGAGACGAGGTTTCCAATTTGACCTTTGGCCTTTCAGGAGTCGTGTGCAGACGTGTAACGAGAATCTGACATGCAGCAGAATCACGCTCGTCTGACCCGTGATAGTGTGTGTGTGTGTAAATGTCAGAGAGATGAGGAACAGACACACGATTCTTATACTGACAGTATACTGTATATACAGTATACTGACTTATACTGTTGGGAGCGTTTGAGATAGGATATAGCAAAAAATGACCATTTTGTCATGCCGTTCCAAAACTGTAATGTTTAAGAGATTGAAAGGCTGTTTGGTTTAATTTCTGACTGATTAGTGTGTAGCAGATGAAGTGATCTGTCTCTGATCATGCGAGGTAAGTGTGTGTGAAACGCTGTTGTTGTTCACAGAGCCGAATCCGCCGCATGTGGAATGACACGGTGAGGAAGCAGTCCGAGTCTTCATTCATGGCTGGAGACATTAACAGTTCAGCGACACTCAACAGAGGTACACACACACACACACACACACACACCATATACACTCACTCACACACACACACACACACACACACACCATATACACTCACTCACACACACACACACATGCACACACCATATACACTCACACACACACACACACGCACACACCATATTCACTCTCTCACACACACACACACACACACACACACACCATATACACTCACTCACATGCATATTTTCCTCCAATTTTATTCTTAATAATAATTAGCCTACTATATTATTAATAACAATATAACTATTTTTATTTTATATCTGTTATTAAAAATAAGAACATATGCAAATAAACAGTAGTTTAATCGAGAGCAGCGAGTCTTTTCTTTTAACGTTTGATTAACATTGAGACAGATCTGTATTAAGACCTACTGTAATGCATGGATCGAATATAATGTTAAACATCAGATTTTTCCCCAACCATTAACTAAGCGTTGATGTTAATGGATTATGTTTGTGTGAATCTCGCCAAGACATATTTTGCAATGATGCACTTTATTGGGAGATCGCGTAGAGGCGCATCTTCTGCACGCGCTTTGCAAATGTCACACAGCGCGATAGTTTTGTTTTCATCAGCATTGGTTTGAAAATCATATTTCACTGGTATGAATGATATGTCATCGAGAATTCGACATGAATATTCACAAAGCTGGAATGCTGCACTTTGGAACAATAGACCCTCAGCTTGTGGTGAGAAGCAGCAGCAGTCGCAAATAACATGCAATTCAGTGTCCAAAAACATTCAGTCACACTTAAGTATATTCTTTAAAGTATACTAAGTAATGAGTACTTGAACAGTATGCTAAAGTGTACTTGGTTTTCACAAGGGATATTAAAACACATTACATTTTACACACAGGCAATTCTACAAAAATTCACAGACTTCCTCTTATTTATATACTTTTGGCTAATTTGATTATGCTTCCAGCTACCAGCAAAGTTTAGTGCTCTTAGCTCGGTTTGACATGTTTTAGCATATTTATACTCATTCTAGAACTGAAAATCATGTCCTAAAATCTGAAATAAAGTCAGATCCTACTAAAAACAAGCTGAATTTGTCCAGCACCTGCAGAGTTTGTCGTCCCATATAATTGCATGTTTGAAATCAGTGCAGAAAAAAGAGTTCAGAAAGATTTCATATCTACAGATAAAACTTAAAAGTGCGCTTATGTTTCTTTAATGAAGATCTTTCCAATCCTGACATTCAATACATTAAACATTTACAAGTAAATTCAGTCTGTGAGTTTCTCCTGCCGTGCGTCAGAAATGCTGCTTTAATTGCGCGAGAAAAGTTCAGAAAAACCAGAATATGCAAATAAGTCTATTTTTGTGGCCAGTAAAATAAAAAGAAAAAAGTGGTAATTAAACTTTAAAGACTAGAAGTAAATGACAGTGTGTTGAGATAAGGAGAAAATAGAAATGAGTCCTGAAAGTTAAACTTAAGTCCGTTTTAATAATTGTCAGCTGAATGTAATGCAGCTAATTTCATTTACATTTAGATTACATTCATGTTCGCTCAAACTCTGTGTATGCTGTGTAAATGAGAGGTAAACAGGTGGATGAGGATTTAATTAGCGTGGAATATGCCGTATCTTACTACGAAACATTTCCAGTCGAGTGAAATGACAGCAGTGAGCTGCAGACGCTTCAGTCGCCGTTCATTGCCTCAGTGAAAGCAGGACAGAAAAACAGCTGATGCTGAGAAACATCTCAGGCTAATTCACAGCATCCAGTCGAGAGCAGGTCACCGCAGACTCACGCCGCTTCAGTGCAAGAAAATAAGGCACTTTCCACAAATAACACACAAAACACTGGTACAAATGTCCGTTTTTTACATTTTTCTTGAGCTTGCCAAATGCATTCAAGGAAACATTTAAGAAAATAGATTTTTTTTGTGTGTGTGTGTTTTCCTCTCTGTAACATTAAAGTGTGACAAACATGCAAAAAAATAAGAAATCAGGAAGGGGGCCAACACTTTTTCACACCACTGTATATATATTGAATTGTTTTTTATTTTTGTATTTTCCATTTTCATTTTCATTTGAATAATTACATTGTGTTTTTGTCATTTTTATTAGTTACTTTGTTTTAAATATTTCAATACAGTTTTCATTCATTTTCATTTGAGTTTTATTTTTTATATTAGTACACCAAGTTGAGCTAAATGAAAATGAGCTTCATTTTCATTTAGTTTACTTCAAATTATTATTATTTTTTAAAGTGAACTTTAATATTTAATAACTTTAATAAGCACCAAATGTTGCAAATGTTGTTACTTCTTGAATATTCCATTTTGGTCATTAAAATGATATATGGGTCAAAGAAAATAGAACAATAAAATAAGTTTAATGCAGCTTTAAATGTAGTTTTTCCCCTGCACATTAGAATGTGTCCTGTATTTTAAATTTTTTCTGAGCAAAAAATAATGACTATCATATTTTTTTAGCATGATTTACAGAAGATACCCACTAAAATGTCATTCAGTGTAACAATAGTTCATATAGCCTACCAAAAAAAAGTCATGTCAGGCCAGCACTATCTCACGACCAATTCGTATGTATTTTACGAGGTGGCTAATTCGTACGACCTCACTCGTACAATTTTGTATGATTTGTCTAAACCCCAGTGATGGGTAGGTTTAGGGGCGGGGTTAGGTTGTAGGTCATTCGTACAAATTAATATGAATCGTGCAACTCGTAAAATACGTACGATTTGGCAAAAATCGTATGAATTTGTACGAGTGAGGTCGTACGAATTAGCCACCTTGTAAAATATGTACGAATTGCTGTGAGATGGGGCTGGTCAGGCATATTTAATAACAAGCCTTAAATAGGTTTTACATAAATATATGTTAAGCTGAATGATGATAGAATATTATTTCACCAATCTTTTGAGTTTTTTTTTTGTTTTCACAAAAGTGGAAACATTAAGGTAAACACTTTACTTGCATTTAATATGCTTTCTGTGTATATACAATCACTCTTGTTTATGTAATTTGATGTGAAATAGGACGTCTAATCTAATAAATCTATACATTTATTGAGGGATGGAGTTGAGGAGGTTAAGAGGCGCCGATGCCCTGATTCCAATAAAGATATCTGATGTTTAAAAATACCACCTTTATTTGAGGAAACCATTGAAACCATTCAGATAATGTCAAAAGCTTCTAAAAAAATGTACAAAAGAAAATACAACATAAAAATTATGCATGGGTCATTGTGAGGTAGACTTTCTCATAATTATAACTTAGTTTCTCATAATTATTACCTTTTGTCATGATTTAGACTATCTCATAATTATAACTTAGCGTCTCATAATTTTTTTACTTTTGTCATAATTTAGACTATCTCATAATTATAACTTAGCGTCTCATAATTTTTTTACTTTTGTCATAATTTAGACTATCTCATAATTATAACTTAACATCTCATAATTATTACATTTTGTCATAGTGTAGACCATCTCATAATTATAACTTAGCATCTCATAATTTTTTTTACTTTTGTCATAATTTAGACTATCTCATAATTATAACTTAGTATCTCATAATTATTAACTTTTGTCGTAATTTAGACTATCTCATAATTATAACTTAGCATGTCATAATTATTACATTTTGTCGTAATGTAGACTATCTCATAATTAAAACTTAGCATCTCATAATTATTAACTTTTGTCGTAATTTAGACTATCTCATAATTATAACTTAGCATCTCATAATTTTTTAACTTTTGTCATAATTTAGACTATCTCATAATTATAACTTAGCATGTCATAATTATTACATAATTTTTGTCGTAATGTAGACTATCTCATAATTATAACTTAGCATCTCATAATTTTTTTACTTTTGTCATAATTTAGACTATCTCATAATTATAACTTAGCATGTCATAATTATTACATTTTGTCGTATGATTTTTTGATGTATTACCTATGACTGTAGCAGAAAGTACTGAGAAAAGTTATATTGTATCAAATTAATTACTAAGTGTGTGTGCATGTAGTTATTTATATATAATATATAACTGTGTGTATATACAGAAAGTTGAGTTTTTTTTTTGTTTTCACAAAAGTGGAAACATTAAGGTAAACACTTTACTTGCATTTAATATGCTTTCTGTGTATATACAATCACTCTTGTTTATGTAATTTGATGTGAAATAGGACGTCTAATCTAATAAATCTATACATTTATTGAGGGATGGAGTTGAGGAGGTTAAGAGGCGCCGATGCCCTGATTCCAATAAAGATATCTGATGTTTAAAAATACCACCTTTATTTGAGGAAACCATTGAAACCATTCAGATAATGTCAAAAGCTTCTAAAAAAATGTACAAAAGAAAATACAACATAAAAATTATGCATGGGTCATTGTGAGGTAGACTTTCTCATAATTATAACTTAGTTTCTCATAATTATTAACTTTTGTCATAATTTAGACTATCTCATAATTATAACTTAGCATGTCATAATTATTACATTTTGTCGTAATGTAGACTATCTCATAATTAAAACTTAGCATCTCATAATTATTTACTTTTGTCATAGTCTAAATTATCTCATAATTATAACTTAGCATCTCATAATTATTAACTTTTGTCGTAATTTAGACTATCTCATAATTATAACTTAGCATCTCATAATTATTAACTTTTGTTAATATAATCTCATAATTGTGACAGTATATCATATTTTTGACTTGTCAATTTAGATTTTTTTATGTATTACCTATGACTGTAGCAGAAAGTACTGAGAAAAGTTATATTGTATCAAATTAATTACTAAGTGTGTGTGCATGTAGTTATTTATATATAATATATAACTGTGTGTATATACAGAAAGTACTTAGTAATATGTTTGTATAATATAGTAGTAAGTACATAGTACTACTACTGCTACCCTAATACTTTATGATTTTATTCTTAGTCATCTTGAGATGTCTTCTGCTAAATTATAGTATTTAGCTTATAAAATGTGTTAACTGGACACATTTTAATAATTACAGATTACACATTTTTAATCGTGTTAATGTGTTAATTCTGACAGCCATAATTTGTTTATGAAGCGTTTTTACCTCCTTAAAGGGATGTTGTTGCCATGGAGGTTTAGCTCACTTTTGGAGAGACTTTTTCAGAGGTCAGGACCTTCTTCGCAAACACTGTGCAGGTCAAAGGTCAATTTGTGTAATAATTTAATCTGCAGAAAAAGCTGCTTTTAAACCTCAACCCCAGTGAACCTCCCTGTCTGTCTTTCTTTCTGTGTCGTATCACTGAAGGTGCTTATCTCAGTGTTCAGCATATGATTTTCAGAGGTGTGTAATTAGCCGACAGCATAATAAACGTGCCTACGCTGATAATCACGATCAAAATTCTGTTGAATAAATGAGCTCATATTGGACACGGTCTTCATTGGAGAATCAAACAGAAAGTGATTATACAATGACATTTTTTTTTTTTCTATTGACTAATTGGTAGGTCGTCTGAATGACTAGTCCTTTAGGTTAGGACCACATCCAGACTTGTTTATTTGTGTTAAATGGGCAGATATATAACAAAAATAGGCTATAACAAGTCCTGTTATTGCAAAGTCAAAAAACGAGAGCTGAACTGAAAGCATTATATTCTTATTGATAACTAAAAGCATAATTAAATTAGCTAAAATATTTAATAAACAAACGCAAGGCGCGGGAGATGTAAAACTTTGTGAAAATCCAATTTTGTGGAAACGGGTGAGCACGGATTCTGTGTGGGCCTGTCGAGAGATTCTGCGTAATAATAGATACACTGCTCACAGCAGGCAATTTCAATCCAGCAGTAATTGTCTTGAAAGTGAAGAACATGGAGGAGAATCTGTTACAAAAGTGGTGCTTTAAAGGGGATACATTTTCAAGACACAACTTCTTGGAGAGATAGAACTGTCAGAATGCTAAAGCACGCTCGCATGTTAACAACCTTTCAGAGAGGTTCTGTCTGTAAATTCATCCCTATTTATCACCACTGCTGCGAATATCAGACACTCTGTGGAATGGTTTGATGAGCAGAGTTTTCTTTCCTGTGTTATTAAGGGATGTTTAAGCAGAACACAAAGGGTTTGTCCCTTTTTAAATAACCACTAGCCTTTTCAAATCAAAAATCTAATCACTTTTATTGTCACATCACCAACAGCACATTTGCCGTGGTGAGTGAAAAGCTTGGGAGCGTGCTCCAGACAGTGCAGAATACAACTGACACTTTTAACAAATAACAGTATACACGTTTAGACACTTTTACAAATAACCAGAGGCGGACGATTGTCCCTTTTTAAATAGCCACTAGCCTTTTCAAATCAAAAATCTAATCACTTTTATTGTCACATCACCAACAGCACATTTGCCGTGGTGAGTGAAAAGCTTGGGAGCGTGCTCCAGACAGTGCAGAATACAACTGACACTTTTAACAAATAACAGTATACACGTTTAGACACTTTTACAAATAACAGTATACTTTTATGTACAGTATATACACTATATAAAACAATAAATATACAAACATAATACACAAAGTCTACAAATGGACACATAGAGTGGTTGTAGATGTAATGGTTGGTAAATAGATGTTTTGTTTACATCACAGATTTGAAACATGATTTGCATGCTATCGCTAGTCAGATGTACAGTAGGTGATTAGGGGGAGGAACATTCTCATTTGTATGGAAGCCTTTTTCTGCCAAATAATTTTTTTTTGATAAATCATTATGATGACATAAAAAGACATAATTATGAGATAATCGTAATTATGTGATTATGAGACTGACAGAACATAGAAATTGTGAGATAAAAACAGTTATTACATAAAGACTAAATTATGAGATAATACATAATTAAGAGATAAACTTAATATTATGACAAAAGGTTGAAATTATGAGATAAGTTTAAAAGTTTAATAATTATGCAATAAAAAAAGAGTTATAAGATTATGACAGAACATAAAAATTGTGAGATAAAAAGTCAGTTATTATGTAAAAATCTAAATTGACAAAGTCCAAATTATGAGATCCTGTCATAATTACTGTCATAATGAGATAGTCTAAACTATGAGAATTCAAATTTATGAGATAAGTCATTATGTGATAAAAACCTTTGTGAGATTATGACAGAAAATAGAAATTGTGAGAAAAAAAAATCAGTTATTACATAAAGACTAAATTGACGTGTCAAAATTATGAGATAAGACATAAGAGATAAACTTAATATTATGACAAAAGGTTGAAATTATGAGATGAGTTATAATTATGCAATAAAAATAGTTATAAGATTATGACAGAACATATACATTGTGAGATAAAAAGTCAGTTATTATGTAAAAATCTAAATTGACAAAGTCCAAATTATGAGATCCTGTCATAATTACTGTCATAATGAGATCTATGAGAATTCAAATTTATGAGATAAGTCATTATGTGATAAAAACCTTTGTGAGATTATGACAGAAAATATAAATTGTGAGAAAAAATCAGTTATTACATAAAAATCAAAAGTGGAAAATGGTCAAAATTATGAAAAGTAATACTTATGAGATAAAGTCTAAATTAAGAAGTCAAAAGTATGAGATTTATTACTTTTTATTACAATAATACTAGACTTTTATCTCATCATGACTTAGTATCTCATCATTGTGATTTATGTCGTAATTATGATTTAATACAGCATTATATTTTTCTTTCTTATTTAGTGGAAATGGGCTTCCATACATTCTAGCAAGCATTTGATTGGGGAAAAAAAAAAATTATATGCCCTAGGTGCAAAATGAGTCATCAAAATCGTTGGTCTTTGTAAAAGAGATAATGTTCTTCCAAAATGCACTGCAACACTCACTCGCATAGACCGTCAGAGTCTCTGATGAGATAAGAATGCTAACATTGGTTGAATGCTCTTGCTTTTTTTTCTGTGGCTGCTGATGAGACGTCTGTATGATAACAATGCTAACATTGTTGCTGCATTTGTTTGATCTTCTCTGTGTGTTCTTCTCTCCATCTGTGCGGCTGTATCAGGTGCCATGGCCAATCACCTCATCCCAAACTCTCTGCTGCGCGCTCACGCCTCTAACAACCCCTATAACACCTTACTGGGCGAATCAGCCGTCTATAACAACCCTACCCTCAGCATGTACAACGCTCAAGGTGTGCTGCATTCTTGCTTTGCCTTCCAGTGCAGTGTGTGTGTGTGTGTGAGTTGAGGAAAAGGGCTCTGCTATGTGGCTTCATCCTGAACATGTCTGCGGTCATCTTTGTCTTTTGTCTGGTACAGTCTGGTCCAAACAAACGTAATTCCCAATGAAAAATGAGTTCATAGAGCTGAAATAATTATAATAACTGATGGCTACATTTAGCGGCATGACAGAAATGCGACTCAATCTTTATATGCATTAGTGCCTAATTGCAGAATAAAATAAAATCACCCGCTCCTTTGAAGTCACGCCACACTAATGTGTCTGGTGCAGATGGGTTTGGACAGTCACACTGGACTTGATGCAACTCAAAACAATACATGTGCCTCTTGCATGTGAAACACTCAGTAAGACTTCATTACCGTACATCTGCAGACCAAAAATCTGCTGCAATGACCTCAAGAGACCTGGTACAAACATGGGATAAGGACATTTTCATCTAGCCAGAAACGCAACTGCAAACTTTATAAATGCATCGGTGCCGAATCATAACACAAAATAGTCTACTCTTCTGAAGATGTGCCAGTCTAATGTGACAGCGATGCTACACAGTTTTTTGTGGCATGTTGCAATATTCATGCAGCTGGATGCGTTTCTGGCATGCAAATACTCAGACATCACACATCTAGAGTGTTCCTTCGGGACAGACTACTATGCACTCATGCTGCAATGCTTGCAGGAGCCATGGCATTTTAGGATGAGCATGGCATAACAGCAATGCGACTGCAGGCTTTAATACATGCATTATTGCCTGGCATTTCAGGACGAGCATGGTATAATGATACTTACATGCACTATACATGCACTCGTTATACGTCCACTCTTATGAAGATATGTCACTCTCATGTGTCTCATGCAGAAGGGTTTGGACAGATGCTAGAAGTTTTTTGTGGCGTCACAGCACTGATGTGCCTCAACAGAGCACGCTTTTTCAGAGCTGCATGGGAAAAAAAAGGTCTGTTTTTTCAAAGCAATACTTCATACGCCTATCGCATTCTTTTAGAACATGAATCTGCCGCGCTCTCACGCTGAGATGCCCGCAGGAGGCCTGGCTTCTCCTATTAGCAGTAACGCATCTCTGCATGCAGCTGTCTCACTCCGTCTCGCCCTGTCTGTCTGTTGCACTGGTGATCTGCTTTCTCCCCATCACCACCTGTTACTGCCACCTTCACTAACACATAGATCTGAAAGAATTCAGAAGGCTCTAGAGACAGACTGACAGACGCGTTTCTGGACAATGTCAGTGGGGAGGGCCGAGCGCTGGATAACAGCCTCTTCATCTACATTGACAACATTGTAGCGACCTTGAAATCTAATATCAATAAAAGCCCCAAAATTACGAATAGATCCCAGGCCACTTTTAATGTTCCTCTTTAGCCCGATCAATAACTCTCTTACCGAATACAAGTCTAACCGTGGAACCGCGTTCAGAGCGGAGCGCGTCACTAATGGAGACAGAAGCCATTTCTGCGCCCTCCAGACATTCAGGGGGCTTTAAAGCACAATTTTATGGCATTTACATGTGCATCCTGGGATTTGCAAGGGGACACGGTGGTGTGTGTCTGTATCTGAGAGGTGAAATGAGGAGGTTGAGCGTAACCGTTTACCTGCGCTTCATTAATCTGTGTGCATGTTCTATTTGAGCGGTCACTGTGAATGCTTACCTGTACCTTTTTCTCTTTCCTTTTTCCATGCTGTCCTTTAAGAGCCCTACAGAGAGACAAGTATGGGAGTCAAACTAAACATTGCTTACCAAATGTAATTTCCCTTAACGTTATTACTCTTTCCTTAAAACTATAGTAAACGCCATTTTGCTAAGAGATGTTTTAGTCAATATTCTAATCAGAGAGCACTCTCAACCTCATTAAAATGAAAACCTAATTTTCTCATCTCTTCTTCAACGTAAAGTGATGCTTTTGTTAAAATAGAAGCTGAGTGGACAATTCGGTGTTTTGCAACCCTGGTCTTTTTCCCCCCAATTAAAATTTGCATATTTGTCTAAGCCACTGATAAGTAAAACAAATGCTGTTTATTTGTTTATGCTCAAATGATGCAGCTAAAAATTGGTAAACAAGAAAGTGCTCCCACATTTTGTTATACGAGTGTGGGAGTGTGTTAATAGCCCATGCTTGCACACTTCTTTTCATGAAGAATTTAACTTCAAGACGCTGATAATATGCAAAATTTAATTAACGTAGAGAAACCTATAGGCGGAGAAGCTGCTCTCTCTGTACCTAATGATACATGAGTGTTATATAAAGGCCAGCATGATTTGGTTTGACGAAAACTTTTCGTGCATTAGCTGTCGTGTATTGTTGTGTGTTTGTGTTCGTGCATTGTGTTTCTGTTGTGTTTGCCGGCTTTGCAGAGTGATTTGTGTGTTATTTGATATGTGAGATGAGGACAAT